CTAAAGGACAAGTCACATACACCTATCTACTGACATTGGTCCTTACCACATATCTTCCACATTTGTTCTACCAAAATACAAAGGGATGATGCATTTCATAGCGGTAGGCCACACAAAGCACACAGGCTTTCAATAAAACAATACTTGGCTATTGTGGAATTACTCTTAGTAAGTCCACTTTAATCAGAGCATCTTACAAAAACTCAAAAGGGACAAAAATGTTAATAAGATCTTAAAAGGAATAAAAACACATCGAACTACAGGCTTTTGGCATCATCACAGGGAATACAACCAAATGGTGGCTTTCAACAGTTATGTGGCCCTCAGAAAGAAAGCCAAGGGTGTCTCAAGAGAATGGCTTTGCCCACCACATAGTAGATCTGGGGACTGAAGGACAGCATGATAACAGAATGATCATGGGAGGGTGGCAACCAAAGCAATTAAGGGTCAACACAAAAACATAAGTGACTTATATACGATCGCTGAAGGAAAGACATGCAGCAGACCGACTGCTGCACATCGAGTTCCAGTTCTGGCTCTCTCACTAACTGTGTGATCTTACAAAGCGACTTAATGTTTCTGGATGTGAATTTCCTTAACTACAAAAATCTAGAGCAAAACTAAACCTTCACCAGCTTCCTTCTAGTTCTAATACTCTTTGAGTTTATAAGTCCTCTCCTTCCTTAAGATGGACACAAGTGCAGTAACCAAAGTGAGCCGTCACTCAGTAGTTCTTTGAACATTATCATGATCAATGCATTTCCTGTGCATAAACATGGGTTTACCAGAATAGGGTTACAGATTAAATATGAGACACAAATTTGCCTTTCATAAAAACAAAAAAAAATTTTAGTATAAGTATATCCCAAATATTACACGGAACATATTGATAGTAAAAATTATTCATTGTTTAGTTAAAATGAAAATTTTTTGACTAAATCTTGCACCCTATCTCTGACCCCACATTGAAAGTTCAATTTTAAAAATCAAAACTCTGATTCCATACATGTGGGTGGTTCTAAGAGTGGCTGAGGCACTAAATGGGAGACCTTCTCAAGAGTAGTGCATATAGTGGCAAAAAAACAAACAAACAAACAAAAAAACAGGAAAAGGGGAATAACTTTCAACATTCCTCTTGAGTAAGTGGGGCATGAACTTTTACTTAACAGTAAAATGAGTGCCAGTAGACCTCAATCATACAAGAAAAAGAATGTTGTATGTCCTTTGTACTGTATGAGTAGACAGGAGGCCAAAGCAAGCTGAACGCTCACTGCTCCACACATCTCACCCCACAGACATAAAGTTAATTACAAGCCCTTTATCTCTTCCTCCAACTCAGTGCTCATGTCTGCTCGCAAGGTAATCAGCTTAAGGGAAACCAGATCATAAACTCCAGCTTCCTGGCCAAAAGGCAGAGGAATAAATACGGTGCAAGCAAAAACTGCACAAGGCATAAAAAGCAAAGACAGCAAAAGGGAAAATTTTCTTTCTTCAGAAGGTGCTCTGTTTTAACAATGGCAAGACAATCTTGCTTTTTAGGGACTCACACTTTTTTTTTTTTAATTTCAGCTTTATCGAGGTATAAATGACAGAAAATTGTAAGATGTTTAAAGTGTACATAATGGGGATTTAACATACATGCACATTGTGAAAGGATTCCCTTCATCTAGTTAATTAGGGGATCACGATTTAAACATGCAAGCCCTGTTTCATTTTTGAGGAGGTATCAAACCTATCATAATTTATTAAGGATCTATATTAATATATATATTTCTCATATGTATGTAAAAAAAATCTTTTTTCATATGTTGCTGTGAAGATATAAATAGGGCACATTCCAAGAAAGGTTAAATAACAATGGAAGGCAGATTCAATTTTAAAAATAACACAGAAGATTAATTACCATACACTATAAGCCAATTAATTCAATTCTCACTAGGAAAGGGCAGTAGAAAGCCCCACTCAGCTGTAGCCAATACTGCTCTATCAGCAGCATCAGAATGAGGTGGGCTAAAGCAAGTACTTGCAGCTATTGGCTAAGAAAAATTAAATGTATACACCACAAGTTTCCAATGATAAAAATAAATCCAGGTTTATTCATTAACTTACTGGTACATTCAGCAAGAGTTTATTGAACACTTCTTTTGCATAAGATGCCTGCAGTAGAAAACTCAAAAATGAGCTAAAGTCATGCTTTGCCTCCAGATATTACAACCTAGTCATGGAAATAAAGATATATACATAAACAGTTGACAGTCTAAAGTAGTCATGTAATTAAATGTCAAAATGAATGTCCGAGTTGGAATTTTAGTTGGATGCCAGAGAAAGATAAATTCACTGCAATACAAAGTATTCATCAAGAAATTAATTTCCATTTTCTTGAATTTCGAAGGAATTT